TTATTATCACGCGTTGGCGCTCACGAAAGAGGGCGGTGTCTACGGGTGGGGCGATAATAGTAAAGGACAGGTGGGGGCCGAACACCTGTCCAACAATATAGTGCTCGAGCCAATCAAATTGAGATTTACAGACAATGGCCGCCAATACGCGATAAAAAGTGTGTTTTGCGGCGATTTCTCGTCGTTCGCCATCACTGGTGAGGGACTGGTGTTTAGTTGGGGTCGTAATGATTGCTATCAATTGGGGCATATGGTGTTGGGACAGGTGTGTACACCGCGACTGATCGCTGACTTAACTGGTTTGAGGGTAGTCGGTGGGGTTGTCGGACACAGTGGGGCCTCCTATTTGTATACAGACGACAGTTTTGTATACTTTTGCGGTGAATATAGAGAACGCGATGGGAATGACGTTAAAGCCACGAAATACGGGCCGAAAATTCTGGACTCCTGGGGTATCAAAGGCATACGGGTGCTTAAAACCAATTTTGGTCGGAAAGTGATCATGGTACTCGACTGGATAATTCTAGAGTATAATGACATTCGACCAAATATTCCCACATACACAAACTTGTTTGATTACTGTATGAAAGAGTGCAGGGTGACTTTCAAAACCATAGGGTTCGGGGAATATAAGAAATTTAATTTCAGCAAAAAACGTGATTTTAAGCACAAATGTCGGGCATTTTTAAGCGATATGTTTATTAAGATTAGACTATCAATCACAGGTTACTTGATAATAATAATTATATCTCAAATTAATTTATTATATTTAATCCTAGATGTGCCAGTTGGATTAAGCGTGATTAATGATCGTTACGAGGAATTGTGTGAATTAGGTTCGGGATCCTTTGGAATAGTATATAAAATGAGGGATAAAAACGATGGCAAAGAATACGCTGTCAAAAAATTAAGTGCACCAGGTAATTATTACTATGCTAGAATTTTATTAAATAATTCAATGAATGAACTGTAAATAATAGTTCTCCTTGTTTCACCTTTTACTAAATGAACCTGGATATCTCAGAAATTTCAAATTCAGAAGAGTATTACAAAGAGTTACAGAATTTAGTGACCGTTCGCTCAGAATATTGTGTTCAATTTATAAACTCATGGCTTGAATGCGACAACTATTACATTGTAATGGAGTTGTGTTCACAGAGTCTACAGAATATTCTCGACACAAAACTCGAAGTATTTGGTCGACAATGTGGTGAACCCATGGGTTCAGTCGAGGCATTCATTTCGTGTCAAATATTCAAAGAACTCTTAGAATGCGTTCAGTATTTGCATGGATTGGAGCCACCGGTCACTCACCGGGACTTATATCCCGATAATATTCTAATGTCACGTAAGTCGTCGGCATACGGGATATATTTCAAGTTATGCGACTTCGGGTTGTCTACGGTTCGCCAACAAGCGTCCGATAAGGGTAACCCCAGCTACCAGGCCCCTGAAATTTACCAAGGGCGTCAATATGATCATAAAGTGGACCTGTACAGTTTGTACAGAATTGGCGAAAAGTTATTTGACGTCAATTTGGATTATGAATGGTTAGTTTCATTCAATATTTATTTAGACTTTATAAGTTAAGTATACTTTATTAACTTGCTTATATCTGGGTTCACGAAACGGAATATGAAATAAAACAATTATTAATTAAAATATCCTGAATATAACATTGAACATACAAAATGTTTTAAAAATCCTTACTCCGTTTTGTTGGCCCAAAAAATTTATTAAAAAATTTGTAATATTAAAAACATCCAAAACATAGCTCACAATCGTATGCATCTGACAATGAAATAGTCAACAAATGTATGGATAATGTGAAGCAAGTGTTGCATACGATGTCGTACTACAACTGGGAATACCCTAATCAACCCAAACCCGGTACCCACGACTGGACAGACAGACCCTCGTGTTGGCAAGTGTTAGACAAATACAAAGAGTGGACACTTTGTAACCAATGTCTACAATCGGATCCTAACGTCGAGTTAACAGTGAATGCAATCAAACAAAATAGTTATCACTTTTTCGATGAATATTTTTTCACGAAATACAAGATTAATATATTATCTGAGGCGCCGTTCGGTGAGGGTTGTATGTGTTGTACGCCATACGAAGATGATCCCGATGACCGTATGTATGAAACTTATCAGATTAAGAAAAAGCATAATGAATGTATCGATAAAAAGCAACCATGTCCGCATTGTCATAAAAAGTACGGTGGTTGACATTTCAAAAATGTAAATTATGTATAATACAAATTAAATCAATAAATAAAATTTATATTTAAGTGCAATATTTATTCATAAATTGACAATGAATATTTATTTCTCAAAATTATTATAATCTCTTTAAAAAGTAATAAAAATTAATGAAGGTAATTTTCTGAGAGAGAGGTGCTGGATAGATTTTGAAACAAATTAAAGCTTATTATGTATTAAATCCTGTAGTTTACGTGTTTCTCAATTATCACCACAAATATCACTCAAACTCTTGTGACACTTGAGTTACTGCGAAGACTTAACGCGAGTTATGAATCAAAATCAAATCATTTATCAAAAAAGTTAAAAATTACAGAAACACTTGCAACCCATACAGTCAATACAATGTATAATATACGCCAAACTATTGATATTTATTTAATTATTAAATTATTTTATTAAATAATTGTGCAAAAATCCAGATAGTAAGATTACGTAATATAAAAACTAACCATTGTTATAAACTCTCCTAGGGGAGTTTTATAAAATTATATTCAATGTTTTATTTGAATCATATTCATTAGATTACATATCAAATTAATTATGTTTAATCTAATGACTAACATATGATTCAAATAAAACATTGAATATAATTCTCTAAAAAACTCCCCTAGATTAGATTTCTAACCAGAGAATGGTGCTAAATTATTCAAGGTTGCAACATGAATCATTTGTTTATTCGAATTAATATTACGTGATATTAAACACGGTGTAATAAGTATTTTTAAACGCTTTCAAATATCTTTCGAACCCTGTTGAGAGGACCACCTTGGTACATTCACCCATTATTCAGACAAATGAGTATAAATATGTCTCTTTTTGACATATATAGAGATTTATTAAAAATGAAGCATAAATGCCCACAAATATCCAATTTACCAAGCTTATTCATGTATAACTATTTGTGCAAAATCTAAAATCCAATATTGCGAGTGCAAATATGGACCAAAATGTTAACATAAATAACCCTGATACATTAGTCACAGTATTCGCGAATTCAATGATTAACAGGAATTCAATGAGTTTTCCACTGATTAGCCATTCATTGATTGACACATGAGTTCATAGTTTAGACACTTTTTCATTGCATGAAACATTCATTTGCATTGAAAGCAGATTTTTATCACACATTCAGTCATTAGTCGACAAATATGTGTTCAAAACCACTGATAGCCGAGTCATCGGTTCCGGTATCCAATCGTAAGGTAGGGTCAGCTCGTGGTCATCAACCGGCAAGTATATTGTCATCATCGGTACAGTTGTGGTCGAAATCCGACCCTTCGAGGCAGTGGTCAGTATTTCACAGGAATGTCGTCTCAGTGATAGTCTACCGGAGCGGTGATAAGAACCACCAAAAGGTGTGTCTCATCCGTGTCTACGACAGGGATCAGCAGATGATTCGCTTCGAACTCGACTTAAGACAAATGTTTGAGTTCAAGTCGAAGGACCCGTGGCTCCATATATTCCTCGTGAGGAACCGGTGGACAGGTATCCGGTTTAGGGATCTAAACCATTCACAACAGTTCCTGACACTCGTCCTCGAGGCGATGGCCCGCAGGTATGTAAGGATGGCGACAATACCGGCGCCAATGGGACGGCAGGTCGAGGTGTGGTGTAAGGCATCGTTGGAACCGCTGAAGGATATATCGGTTAACACTTGTAGTAGCGATGGGAACGATATCACAACTCCCAGTGCCAGCGATTCCAGTGGTCGCCGCAAGTGTTGTACGTTAGACGACAAGTGGACACAAACCGAGACTCTGATGTCGGATCCGGTGCCCAAAGCACTGGTAGATAAGGCGTTGAATGCCGTTATGGCTGCTATTGACTACATCGAGGGACACATACCAGAGCCCAAAGTCCGGAAGCGATTGGACAAACCATTTGGTATGGAAACCATCGATGAAGAGGTGGACACAAGAGATAAGTCACTGGAAGTGGTATCGAGTGATCGTTTAGAACAGTCATCGACTCTATTATCGGGTCTATTAATGGCAGCCAAAGGATTGTCACCACAAGTGGACAGTCGTATCGAATCTGATTACGAGATCAAAGACTCGGAGGAATACGAATACTATGAAGAGATCGAAAACCGGACACCAATTGATATATCCCTAAGACATGTCTGGGAAAGTAATACAAACCCTGACCCCATGGTTCTCAATACGACTGTCCAATCATTGGACGTAACCGATGGCGACAAATGTGATAATCAATTGATTGGTGAGGTGTTGAAAGTGTTTGACGACACCATCGACTACTTAGACGACACTAAGGATATGAAACCGCTTGAGAAACAACACGAGACACCGATT